CCGCCACCCCCTCCTCCCCCCCGGGCCCCTCCGTCTTCCCCCTCCGAGTTTCCCACCCGAGAATAACCGGGGGGTTTGAGGGGTGATGGAGGCTGCTCGGGGAACCGGCTCTTCCCCGTCAAAGCTTCCTGGTGAAAGCTTCGCCTCCCGTCAAATCTGGGGGGGGAAAGGGGGAAAAGCAAAAAAAAATTGTTTATTCTGGAATAACTTCTCCGGGTTTATCCGCCCCGGGGCTAAAGAGGGAAGAGAAAGAAGCGAGTCAGGTGCCCATCCACTAACGCACTCCCCAGGCACCCCTCATGGTGGGTCACCCCTTGAGTCTCCAGTAACCTCCACGGCACCCCCGATCCCGCGGGGAAGGGGCTGGCTCTGCCCGGCACCCCCAGCCTGGGCACCCTCGGCAGAGCCAGTGGAGCGGCCCCACTGGACACTTGGCCAAACCAGGGCAGGATCTGCTGCATCCGAGGGTGCTGGGGACAATAAATGGGCAGAGAGAGCATCCGTGGCTACGCTTCTCTTTGAGGAGCAGTCAGCTCCATGCGAGTCTCTAATACATTTTTTGTTAAGGTTTCGAAGGGGTCAAAGACCCAGATGTTTGTTCCTATGAGGCAAGCGAGATCCTGGCATCCTTTCCTCAGTCCAGGTGCAAGATGTTCCCCATCGCTGTTCAGACCACAGTCACTTTTTTCTCCCTTGGCTCCTGCTTGAGAGCACCTCACCAGCACAGTTTTCAAAAGGAAAATTCATATTCTAAAGTACAGCCCAATGTAATAAGGGTTATCTGATTCAAGCTCACCGTCAGATATGATGAAAAAGGACCAGATTCATTTTCTTTCCCTTATATGGATGATCACCTCGGGCTACTTCCAATCTCATAGCAGGAAGATGAATTGCAGTTAATGAGACCACTCGAAGGGTAAATTATTTACCCAAATGAGTAAGAATAGCAGAATCTGGCGTGTGGATGGAGAACTGCAGAATAACTCAATAGACAAATTTTGATGTGCATCTTGTGTAAGTTGCTCTGGTGTGCATTTTGTTAGTAAATTAATTTACTGTGATAAAGGGAAAGTTCACCATTGGAGAGCTGCATTCAGTGATATGTGTTCTGTATCATCATGCCCAGCCTAATGCGAAATATCTCCCTGTACAAGTCAACATAATGGAATTTTACCTCTCAAAACAGCAAGGGGATGAGCACAGGTGCAGCACACTTGGCACTATTCACACCTTTTGGATGGCCAGTTACAATTCCCCCCTACGTGGCAAAGCAAGGCTTGAAACACAGCTTCTAAGTAGATGGCAGAGTATGGCAGAAAAGAAAAAGGAGAGATAAAAACATTGCTGAAAATACTACGGATTTTTAGAGACTGGCAGTGGGGAGGGGGATGAAAGAAGAGAAAACCCAATTTCATTCCAAAGAGTCTCAAAGGCAGAATCGTTATCACCGGCCACATCTTCTGTCGACAGCGTGTTCTGCTCTCTCTCTCTCTGCCATCTCATTTCTTTACCTGCACATGCTGTCTCTGGCCATCCTTTTTATATTTGCTTTTTTACCCCCTGAACCTTTTACTGAGAGGAACCTTCCTTTTGAAGCACCAGTGATACAGTCTGTTTTTTGGGAATGTAGCAAGTAGGACAGACTGACTGGGTAACTAGGAACCGAAAACTTTTAATCCTATTTCCCAGTCTGACACAGGCTTTCAGAAGCTGTCTCTGCTCAGTTTTGGGCATTCATCTTAAAATCCCTAGGACAAGTGGGGAAGGGCAAGAGGGAGAGCTACTTAGCCATTCCTCTGCAGGGAGTACCAGCTAGGCTTGAACACAGCCAACCTTCACCCAGGAGGGAAAATCTGCAGAACAATGAAGATGTAAAAATATTCTGGCATTTTTATCCAGGGATCAAAAACGATGCCATAGCAATGTCTGGTGCAATCTCGAGATGGCGGGATATGTGTCCCACATGGAAGAGGGATGCAGATGCCAGGGGAAAATTAGGCATCAGAATATCTCCCTCCTTGTGTAACAGTTCAGACACTACCAAAACTATATATATTTTACGCTTTATTTTTTAATGTGTGCATCTTGACTTTGTGTGTCAGCATTCCCCAAAGGACATTATGTATCATCATTTCATGTCTGTGAAATTCTGCTTATGTATCATTTGTGTTTTAACGATAGTTCTGAAAACAAATCTTAATTGCTCCTGACTTTGAGCTAGGAACAAAGTATGGAGACTTCAGATCTGGTTAGGTGTCATGACTGAGCTGCTCTAATTGCTACGGAAAGGAAGAAGCGTGTTCCCTCCCCCTCCTCCTCCACCGTCACCTCCCTGTTCTCCTCTTGGTTCTTGCTTGCCTAGTCCAGTCCCTTCCCACAGCACAAGATGTGTCTCACTGCCTTACTGAGTTGACTCAACTCACTAACAGAGCAGGAAGCTGTAACGCTGTTCTTTGCTGAGGTTGTTTTCAGACAGGTGACAAACAAGGCCAAGTGCTGGGTCCTGCACTTGGGTCACACCAACCCCAGGCACCGCTACAGGCTTGGGGCAGAGTGGCTGGAGATCTACCTGAAGAAAAGGAGCTGGAGATACTGGTCGACAGCTGACTGAATATGAGCCAGCAGTGTGCCCAGGTGGCCAAGAAGGCCAACAGCATCCTGGCCTGTATCAGGAACAGTGTGGCCAGCAGGAGTAGGGAAGTGATTGTCCCCCTGTACTGACCACTGGTGACGCCCTACCTCAAATACTGTGTTCAGTTTTGGGTCCCTCACTACAGGAATGACATTGAGGTGCTGGAGCGTGTCCAGAGAAGGGCAATGAAGCTGGTGAGGGGTCTGGAGCACAAGTCTGATGAGGAGAGGCTGAGGGAACTGGGGCTGTACATACACACATATACATAGACATCTTCAGAACAGATCAAGAATTGACCCAGAAAGCTTGGATTCAGTGAAAGACAAAAGCCTGGGTGCTTTAGGATCAGGGGTCTTAGCCTATAATAACAATCTGTTGCTAGCTGCAAAATTCAAAGCTGGTTTTAGATTTCCCTAAACGTCAAGGTTCTTCAGACTAACACAGTTAATGATAGTCCATCTTCTGTAAAATATTTATCTAAGTGTCTCTCTGCCCCATAGCAACTTTTCCTTGAAAAAAACCTCTGCATCAGAGAAACTTTGCTTCCTGTATGTATTAAAACGTGCCTGTTTCACATTGCATTCCCATATCCCTAAAGGAAGCTATATCCCTGTTCTCATTTTAACTGAGAATTAAGCTTGATGGAAATTAATTAGTAGAAGCTGAATTAAAGCAAGCAACACCAAGAGCAGTAAAAATAGTCCTGGACTAACTGTATTAGTTCCTACCCAATTAAATTGCTGAAACGTTTGAATCACTGCTGAGAGCACAATGAATTCATCAAGTTGGTCCCCTCTTCATCGCTGTGTTGAGCACGTCCCAAAATTGCACATCACCGGTGGCGGTTCAGAGCTGGAATAACCCCAGGCTTCAGCAGCCAGGAGTGAGATGCCTTGGCACAGCCAGCTGCAGGAGACTGGCACGGTGTCCACCTGTGCTCTCCACCTACCTGTGCTCTCGGCAGCTCCTCAAGCCAGGAGGGTGAGGAGTCCTCAGCCTGCAGGGCTGCTGAGCCCACAGATTTCTCCTTGCCTTCGGGAACAAACTGCGTTGCACAGGCTCAAGCTGTATCAGGCTGTTAGCCTTTGATACAGTCTCCCACAGTATCCTCCTGGAGAAACTGTCTGCCCATGGCTTGGATGGGAATACCCTCTGCTGGGTTAAAAACTGGCTGGAGGGACGGACCCAGAGAGTGGTGGTGAATGGAGTCAAATCCAGCTGGCGTCCAGTCACGAGTGGTGTCCCACAGGGCTCAGTACTGGGGCCACTTCTCTTTAACATCTTTATCAATGATCTGGACGAGGGGATCGAGTGCACCCTCAGTAAGTTCGCAGACGACACCAAGCTGGGTGGCAGTGTTGATCTGCTGGAGGGTAGAGAGGCTCTGCAGAGAGATCTAGACAGGCTGGATCGATGGGCCGAGACCAACGGGATGAGGTTTAACAAGACCAAGTGCCGGGTCCTGCACTTCGGTCACAACAACCCCAGGCAGTGCTACAGGCTGGGGGCAGAGTGGCTGGAGAGCTGCCTGGCAGAAAAGGACCTGGGGGTGTTGGTCGACTGTCGGCTGAACATGAGCCAGCAGTGTGCCCAGGTGGCCAAGAAGGCCAACAGCATCCTGGCCTGTATCAAGAACAGTGTGGCGAGTAGAGCCCGAGAGGTGATCGTCCCCCTGTACTCGGCACTGGTGAGGCC